GGGAAAGCTGAGCCCAGCACCTGCATGAGAAACAGTGGGAGCAGCAGTGGAAAGCTGTTGTTTGCAGACAGGAACTAGCAGTGTGCAGGGAGACCAAGCAGAGGGAGGGGGAACATCATTCTGCCCCCTTGTAGTGTTCTTCCTCCAGGAATCCCAATCCTAACCCTCTCCCCCGGGGAGGCGGGTGAGTTGTCTCCATCTTACACAAGGCAAAATGGCAGTACTGGAGGACGACATTTTCAAAAGCATTAGACTAAGGAGCCTAAATCCCTCAGTGACTCATACTTGAGACCCTAAATCACTTTTGAAAATGGTCTTTAGAATGGCATTGTTAGTGCCAGTGATTTTACCCTTTAGCCATGGACAAACAGGGAATAGCAGAGCTGGGACTAGAGTCCAGGACTCCTGGATTTCAGTCCCTGTTCTACCCATTTGCTCACACTTCCTTCCAAAAACCAAAGAGGGAACCCAGGAGTCCTGCCTGATAGTTCTTTGCCCTCCCATGTCCCCCACTGATTATATTTTTTTCCTGAAAGAAAACAAGTTAATTTCAAGAAGTGCTGAGTGTGACAAAGTAGGGGGTTCTTTTGCCTTATCTCCTGTCCTATTGTAACCCCAAATGTGTGCCTCAGTTTCCCAGGGCACTGCACCAATACCTAGATGATGAGAATTTCAGATGTGACTCCTACTGAGGGAGGCTTGCATGCACACAATGGCCCAATACCCCACGTGCCCCGGGGAAAGGTGGCGATCAGCTGACACATTTTGCAGGGGAAGCAGGACAAAGGAGGAGGAGCCTGGGACCAGGAGTTGGGAAAGGGTCAGTCTTGGCTGGCTTGGGGTACAGGAGGAGGGTAAGGGCCTGGGCCCTCTCTCCCAAAGATGGATAGTACGGACTTGCTTCTGGTTACTGTGCTGACAAGTCTATTGTACGCTGTGTCCCTGTCACTAATAAACCTTCTGTAACATCTAACTGCAGATGGGAATGCAGGGCCCAGTGACTCCCCCAAACCTTTTGGTGACACCAGGAGCCTATTGTTGAAAGGGGCTGTATCCTGGCTGCCATCCTGAGCACTCCGCAGCTCCCAAAAGAGCCATTATTGTACATGACACAAGAGGCACTTCAAGGAAGGGACCAAACAGGTCATGAACACTCACGATGACAAATGTGCTATGCTCAATATCTGAGCACACCCCAGGGCTCCAGAACACACAGCCCAGGGCAGTACTTTACATTCACCAGCAAATGAGGTGGGGCAAACACCTCCTTGCCCTTTTGAGCCCGTATTTAGAAGAACAGAAACAACCAGGCTCTTTCTATGTCACTCTCTTGGCTGAGCGCAGGGAAGAAAGGGCCATTCAGAACTGTCCGAGGCCAGGACAGGCTGCAAATGTTTCCCATTTGCTAAGAGAGATGGAAACTGCCAAACAGTTTAATTAATCAATTCTTATTACTACCAACTGCACATTTCCCTGCGGGATTAGAAGTCATTTGGAAATCCCCTTATGCTGTGTTACCAGCAACATTTGGGTGTATTTGGAGAGCAAAAAGCTGGTGATGCGGGAGAAGATAGTCTGCTTTGTGCATATCACTCAGCTTAGACAGTTACAGTAGGCTGGAGTGTTACACTTTGTAATCAACGATAGTGGTTCGTGTACTCTAGAGATGCTGGTCGGTTCCCCACATGAAAGGGGAAGGGTCACTTCCAAAAATAGATAGAAAGCATATCAGGAAAAACACAAGTCCTATTGTACAAGGCTGATATTTGGGGCTCAAACTATCACATGGTTGCTTCTCTGACGCCAAGATCTAACAAAGGCGGAGAGAGTTGTCAAAGGGGTCAAGCAGCAGGGAAGAAACGTGTGGAGAGCGTAGCATAAGCCACTGATTTTGGCACTGCTGCCTTACTCAATCTAGGTCAGTGACGGGCAACCTAGGCTAACGAGCGGGCCGCACAAGTGGCCCTCTATCTCAGATGGCTGCAAGACTGCCGTAACGAAGATGGTCTCCCACAAGAGGGTTGTTTTGCTAACGGCATTTGTGATTTGCCTCGAATTTTCAGGCTGTGCTGACTGAACTGTAGCAGCACTCTGATTGGATGCAGAGGGAGCACACAGTGCTCACAGTCAATGTTGTGTGCAACCAGCACACATCTCACTTCACATGCACCCTTGTTTTACGTGCGTGTCACTTTAGTAACACCGGAAGGAAAAAACTACACAGAGAGAAACCAGCAGAATCTGGCAACCCTGGGCATGGGAAATGGTAAGTAAAAGGTCTTGTGGGGCACACACAGAACCCCAATTTGGCCACAGGCTGCCCATCACTGATCTAGGTACTTGTATGGTCTCAGCACTGGAGTATCTGAACCCTCCCTCAATAATGGCAGGGACAGCTGCAACATCACGGGAATGGACTCACTGACCCAGGCAATTCAGTCCAATCCAGCGTTCCTAAGCATGTTCCCATTTTACAGATGAGGACTGATGTACAGAGCTGCCCAGCGTCACAGCAGGAAAATAATTTTAGTTTTCCAACTGTTAGCCTGGTAAGCAGAGGTTAGGCAGGGGAATGTCAAACAGGAGGTGATGGAATTGTCATTGCTGGGAGTTTCAAGGCCACCGGTGTTAAGTGTTCAGTTTGCTGCTTCTAAGAGCCTGTGGGCAGAGAGGGCCCTGAAAGCGTGCAGAGGCTATTTGAGCTGCTGAGGGATTCCAATTGGAATTGGAAGTTTCTCTCTAAAAGTCAGCTCAGGTGTGTGAAAAGACACATACCCATGGGCAGGTGCCAGGCAGGCGCTCTCACCTGTCAAGGAAAAGGCTGCTCCAGTACAGCGCACTCACCTGGAGTGAGAAGGTCAGCTGAAGCTCCGTTTCAGCAGGCCCGCTGACCGGCAGGACAATCTCATTGGATCTCAGGATCCTCTTTGAGCCCTGTAATCAGAGCAGACAGTGTTACATGTGTATCCACGTTCAGGATCAGGGTAGGTGGAAGGCAGCACCCAAAGCAGCACCAGCAGGGCAACCTTGCCCAGCACGCCCTGCCCCCATCATCCTGCACCAACTCTGCTTTGGAGGGTAGCACGCCCTGCCCCCATCATCCTGCACCAACTCCGCCCTGGAGGGCCCAGCTAAAGGGAGCAAAAGTATCACAGCCTCCTCCTACTCATGCTGCTCCTTGGACACAGCTGCGAAGAGACCTTGGCGGCAAGGACAGATTGAAATCCAGCCTTCAGCTCCTGTCACAGGGGCCAGCTCTCCAAGGCACTGATCTCTGAGGGAGTGTGGCACCACACCTGCATGTGCCCTGTAAGAAGCAGCTTTCCCCTGCTGCTGTTTCTCTTTCAGCACCACTTGAAATCCCCCAGGTACTGAGCTGTGGATCCAACGGCAGGCAGAGCGCTCCGAGGGAGACCCCGACGGACACAAGCCCACACATAAGAAGTAACTTCCACAGCCCAAGCACACGGACACTTTCCTGGTGCCGCTCAGCCGAGATCTCTTAGCACTGACCCAGCCCCTTGCTCTGCAGCATCTGGGCACCTCACAATCTCTGCTGGGAGCTAGGGAAGCATTATCTCCGCTGTACTGGCCCGTGGTCACACACCCAGTCTGTCAGAGCAGGGAGCTGAGCCCGGGTCTCCCAGTCCCAAGCTAGCACCCCAGCCATGGGAGCAGCCCCCTCCTCTGGTCTCAAACTGCTTTGACAGAGGCAGGCTCTGGGGATTCTCCCTGTCGTGGCAGAGAGGAAGTCACCAGCTCCAGTGGCAGAGCCAGGAGCCAGAATCCTCTGCTCCAACCACTCCTCCCACAGCACACAGACCCACTCAGTGGGAGAGCCTCACCTTCCAAACCCCTAAGTCTAGAGGAAGACAGCTGCTACAGTGGCAGAGCCAGGAGCCAGAATCCTCTGCTCCAACCACTCCTCCCACAGCACACAGACCCACTCAGTGGGAGAGCCTCACCTTCCAAACCCCTAAGTCTGTTGTCACTGTGCCCCACAGGAATCCTGCCTTCAGCTGCCCCCTGCTCTTACTACAGATGGTGGAAGATGATGGTTACATGTGGCAGGTCCCGCTCTGGGAGCTGATCCACACAGCAAAATAAGACTATCTCTAGCAGAGAAAGAGGTAACAGGAGCCAATGCCTAGAAGCTGCAGCCAGAAAAATTGAAACTAAAACAAGGCACAAGCATTGAACAGCCTGCCAAGGGAAGGGGGATTCCCCATCTCTGTCTCAAATCCAGCCTGGCTGCCTTTCGAGAAGATGCTTTAGTCAGACCCAAACATCTGGGCTCCGAGCAGGGGGAACAGGGTGACAGTCTCTGGCCTGGGCCATCAAGGTGGTCAGACCAGATGATCCAATGTGCTTTTACTGCGGGGGGGTGGGGTGCAGCATCTATTCCCACTGATGACCTGTGGTAAGACTCAGACCGATGCTGCCTAAAATGAGCAAACATAGGAGCACCCAGACTCGTTGGATCCACAGCTTGTCTACCCCAGAACCTCACCTTTGACAGGGGCCAGCACCAGGTGCTGCAAAGAAAAAGACGTAAGAACCCTGCAATGGGCAGGCAGTGGCAACCAAGTCTGAGATGGTGCTTGTGAGAGAAGCAGAGGGGTCCATATGTGAGGCCTCCAAGTAAGCGATGCTTAGATGTTCAAGGCCTCGCTCAGACAGTCTCCTGTACAGAGACCTGCCATGAATCCTGCATCTCATCAAGCACCTACCTGCACCTTAGGCAGGCTTGTCACACCTCAGCTGACACTCTTAGGCTTAGGGGAAGGTGCACAAGGTTGCAAGCCAGGAGACCATGAGTCTGAGACTTGCCACTTCCATGGCCTCCTGTTACTATTTCTGCAGGCTGCCTGCACTGCTCTCTGGGAACAGAAGCCAGATCTCTAACAGGAAAACCCGAATCCTGGTCTGCCTGAGCCATGCAGCTTTTCCGAGTGAATATGCAGGTGTGTGCTCTTGGCTTCGCCATCAGGAGCAATCCCACATGGCACCAGAGCCAGGAACCCCCAGACCCATAATGCTTCCTCTCTGAGGGCAGGCAGGAGTTGAATTCAATTCACACAGAGGTTTTCAAGGTGAGGTTTACAATTATATACTAATTAGCTCATACAATAATTTGCATACATGTCCCCCGAGGGAACGTCCCCAGACTTGGCCTGAGGTGAGAGTTCCTCTGGAAGCTCTTCTCTGGACCTCCAAGGGAGCAGAGTTTATGGGGGATGTGCCCACCTGCCCCTAAGCACTTGCAATCAAAAGCAGGCTACCTAACCCCCGACTTGCCGTGCGCTGTGATCCGCACTGGTAAATGGCTGCGCGTGCTGTGGAGGTGGCTGCATCTCAGCAGGGGCAGAGCGAACTATTTATAGTCCCCAAAGCACTTTGAAATTCTTCTGGATGAAAACCTAATAAGCCCAAGTTACTAACAATGCAGAACATGGTAGGGAAACAGCAGGAAGCAGACAGCAATACAAGGAAATTTTGTCTTGGTAACAGCTCGCTCTGTAGCTGGTCACAAAATACTGATTTAACCCCCCTAGCCTTGGTTGGTAAGGACTTTCTGTGAGATATGGAGGCGGGGGGAGGGGAAGAGAAGAAGAAAGAGAAAGGGAGGGCATTTCTATGACATGGGACCATTCGTAGAGTCTGTGGAAAGCCCAAACCCCAGCAGTCAGTTGGTAATAAAAGCCCATCGTCTCAGCTGTAACTAATTCACACTGGGATAAATTTTTAATTAAATGCGCAGGGCTCTCTGGCAGGAGCGAGGATGGAGCGGGTCATGCCCTCACTCCTGTGATTAGACAGATGAGCTCTCAGCCTGACATATTTGTTTTCTCTTTGCCTTACACAGGAAACGTGGCCTGAATGAACTGAAGAGTTGTCTGGTCCAACAGGAGCTGCTGGAAATGCCCCCAGTGCAACACTGGTTTGCACCTTACTGCAGGGCTCTGCTATCTCCAGGTCTCTCTCCCAGACACGGCTAGGCTGATGGAGGAAAACGAGTTCTTCTTTCACAGTCATGCTAGTTACACCTGCTAGATTAGCTCCATGTGCCCCCAGCAACACAAAGGGGCTCCCACTTTGATTATGATGTTTATTGCCATTGTGATGAAGGGCCAGCCAAGAGTGCAGTCCTGTGGTGCTAGGCACTGTACAGAGTAGCAAGCGGCCCTCCCCTGGTAAGCTGACATTCTAAACAGACCAGACAGACCCAGGGTGGGAAGGGATGTAACACACAAGCAGAGGGAACTACAGGATGGCAGCAAACAGGATGTTAGTGCCACAATTTTTTTTCTTTCTTTCTTTTTGGAGGTGGGTTTAGTTCAGAGGGGATCTGCTAAATGGAAAGTGAAGGGAGAAGGGGCACTGACGGGAAGGGGGCACAGTGCAGGGGAGAAGGGGCAGATAGGGAGTGAAGTACAAGTGAAGATACTGTGAACGATGGAACAAATTCCTAAGGTTTTGCCCCATCTCCTGGGATGTTTCTTAGGACAGATGGCTCCCCAGCCTAGCAGACCTCACCATTAGGAAGCTTATTGCTGCGAGGAAAATGCCACAGAACTAGGAGCAGCAATTCCAGTTCCAATCCTGGCTCTCCCCAAGTCTTTGGCCTTCAATCTCTATGCCTCAGTGGGAGCAGGGGATGAGATTCTTGGGGCTGGCTGTGGCTGAGGGGTGGGGTGGGGATGAGAGAATTATTGTTTGCAAAGAATTTGGAAGATGAAACAAAAAAAAAGTATCTATGCTTACCTGAAAATCCCCTTTTACTCAGCATCAAGTGCCCAGCTCCAGTACAGTGGGGGCTTTTATCTGCTTCCAGAACCAGCACTGGCAGCAGAATGCCACACTACATCAAGTCTCCTCCAGCTGAGAGCTTTCACAGCCAGGATAATTCAGATCTAGTTTCCTAAATTGCAGACAGTGGTAAATATACCCCGAGGACACAGCACAATTTCTCCTACTACATAGCATGGAAAATTTCAATGACAACAAACCCAAATCCTTGGATGTCAATTTCCATCTCTAGCCCGAATAAGCCATGCATGTGTCTTTTGGGTGGGCTGGATCGGTGGATCCATTCCTGGAGAAAGGAACTTCTCAGGTCAACAAGGATGCATTTTCTTATTCTTCATGCTGAGGCTACGATCAACGATCCAGACACAAGATCTGTTATACTGGGCTTCTCAGAGCAGTGTGCCCCTCCGAGTGGGAAGCAGAATCATCCTTTCAGTACAGATACCAAGAAGAGATAAATTATATTTCCTCAGTCGTCCCCAGGGTGTTAAGACAGAAAGAAGAGTTAGCACCGGCTAAGATGCAGAACTTGGTGAACTTATGTATTGGTCATGTGGCTGTCTAGCCAGTCTCAATTCAGGAGGAATCACTGCTCTGCCATCTGCTCTCCTGGGAACTGGATTTGGATGCTTACCCAAAGGAGGGCTGTTTCTTGATTTACTTAAGGAATGAAATTACTTGTCTACATTAAAAGAACACCACAGGGTCTAAAACAGGTTAGAGAAAGCTCTTGGCTTCAGATAAAAATGTCATCTGATTAGAGATAGCAGCTAACAGGAGGCCTGCTCTACTGGACAGGAAATATGATGACATCTCCCACCGGGATCCAGCCTGGGCAGCGTTGTCAGGAGCAGGAGGCGGCTCCCAGGCCGTGCCCTGTGACCTATCAGGTTGGACTAAAGCTAACACCCTAACAAGCATTTAATATTGGGATTTGCACAAAACATCCTTTCCTGGAGCATGGTGAGAAGATTGCACTGCAGAGACTTGACCTTCCTGTTTGCACACGGATACCCTTCTCATGCAGGTTCTCATACTTACATTTCACCACTTTAGCATGGCAGCTAAGCCAGGAACTTGGAATAAATTTTGTTTGCTGAATTGCCCTTCGGGGTCCACAGGAACAGTGATCACTCCAGCCTGGGTTCATTCTAACCGGCTTGGTCTTGGATGGGGGATTGGTCTTGCAAAAGCAGACCTCCCCTCTGCACTGAAGACAATAGCCAGCACTCAGTTAATCAAGCTTGAGTGCCATTGTGTCTTCAGCCAGAAAGGCAAAAAAAAAGAGAATCAGGATCTCTATCTCCTCACAAGCTTTTGTAATGCCCTGGGGAGCAGTGGCAGAGGTGGGAAAACAAAGCAGGGCTCTTGCCCAGGTTTGCAAGATGCCATTCACCACCTTACATTCCCACACAGAGGCTGCAGGGCACTTGATTTACAGCTTCCAGAGACAAGGCAGTCAATCACCAGCCCACCAAACAGCTTTACAACTCGGGATATTTCTGGGTGTAGGAGTTACTCTGCTAATCTGACTTCTGCCACTTCATCTACCCTTGGGTAGGCAATGTACATACAGACAGTAAACTTTGAACTGCCCAGCACAGGAGAGTTTCTCTCTGGGGAAGGGCAGAGGGGATTTTCATACACACTGATTGTCACAACCAGAACAGGCCTGGAAGCTCAGAGACCTCAATGAATCACTCTGTTCCAGCTGAAATATGCACTACTCGCATGATGTTTCCTGTGCCCTGAACTGAATGAGGAAGATCCCCTACATTTTTTTTTCCTGATTTCTGCATTCTCCAGTTGTGGATGGGGAGAATATACAATTGGAGCAAGATTGGGGAAAGGATGAGTTGTGGAGGGGATACCAGAATGACTCCACATGAAGCCAGAATCACTGATGCATGTCTGTCTATGAGATCAAAATTCTCCGTAGGCTCCAATAAGAATTGGATAATTTCTCTGATACCCCACTTGTTTTCCTGGATGGCCAGCATCATTCATCTTCTGTGAGCAGACCGTGTACCTCTAGTACTGATCCCAAGATCTAGCTTATGATTGACTTTCCCAACACCAGGGCTCTGCATTTGTCCTGAAGCCATGACTTGCCAGGAACCACACCCCTTGCACGTTTGCTTCAGCTTTCTCCCAGTACAGAAAAGCTGTCCAGGAAAAGATGACGTGAATTTTCTTCTTCTTCCCTAAAGCTAATATGATTGCTACCATGATCCTGCAGAGGAACCCTGGGAGCGTAGGTCAGATCAAAGGGAAAGCTAAGGAGACAACTTGTAGTTTGCCTGTTGTTCTACAGGCTTTGCACCCAAAGATCTCAGAGCAGTTTGCAAAGGGGGGCAGTCAGGAGCCCCTTTGACAATGGGGACGTAAGGCACAAAAAGGTGAAATAAATGATCAGCAGAAGGCCTCAAAGGGCAGGATCCAAAGTGGGAACAGAAACCAGATCCTCCAGTTCTTACTGGCTGTAGGCTAAGTTCAGAGTGTGAGCGCAGCAGGAGTCAGAAGAGTCTACGCTACACAAGCTTGGCAACAGCCTAAAACAACAGCTATAGGAGGTGAGACTCTGCCCTACTTTTCATCGAGTGGAATGTTAACTCTGGGCCCTAACACCACCACTAATGTAGAGGGACAGTTTGATTTTGAAAATCTGGACAATATACTGTGATTGGATTCTCGTTTTGATGGCTTACACATGTGGAGTATAATGAAGGGGTGGGGAACCCTTTTTTTTTTTTAAAACAGAGCCACTGACAGAAAAAGTCAATCATGGACCACATTTAGTCCTGCAGAGGGGTGCAAAGGCTCGAAGCTTCACCCTGCAGCAGGGCAAGCTGATGCTCATGGCTCCAGTCCTGCAGGGAGGGGGGCACAAAGGCTTGGGGTGAAGGCAGAATGAGGGGTTCAAGATGCAAAAGGGGGCTCTGGCCTGAGGTAGGATGTTGCAGGGGGTGAGCGCTCTGAAGGGGGGTGCATGCTCTGGGGTAGGGCTGGTGATGAGGGGCTTGGAGAGCAAGAGGGGGCTCCACGCTGGGCCAAGGTTTTGGAGAACAGGAGTGGGCTGGGGCAGGGAGTTCGGGTGCAGGGTTTGGGAGGAAGTTGGGATGTGGGAGGAAGTTCTGACCTGAGGCAGGGGGTTCAGGTTCCTGCCAGCTGGCACTTACCTCTGGAAGCTCCTGGTCAGCGGTGCAGCAGGGCTAAGGCAGGCTCTCTGCCTGCCCTGACTCCGCACTGCTCCTGGAAGCGACTGCTATGTCCAGCCCTTAGGTGGAGGAGCCAGGTGACTTTGCATGGTGTGCATTGTCCACACCCACAGGCACCCTCCATGCCATTACCATTGGCTGCGGTTTCTGGCCAATGGGAGCTGTGGAGTCAACAACGGGGCAGTACAGGGAAGCTTCTCTTATGTCCCCTGTACATAGGAGATGCTGGGACATACTGGGGCTTGTGGCCTGGGGTGCAATGATTTGCCGCAGGCTGGATGAAATTAGGCAGCAGGCCAGAGGTTCCCTGTACCGGGTGCACCATGTAATGGAAATTCTGAGTGAGCCTGTCTCCCCGCATAATTAACGACACAAGCGTTCTAACTAAAGGGCTGCAGTCACAGTGACACTGCCTGAATTAACCCCCCTGAGCTCCTGAAAGGGGAGATTAATTTCTTCCTGCCCTTTCAAGTGCAGAAATAGCTGCACTTATTAACCCAAAGTGATTCAGCCCTCAACCTCCTCTCCAAGTGCTGCAGGGAATCCCCACTGGGCACCTCAACCAGCGATCTGGAGGAGGCTGGCTCTTCCAGACAACAGTGGAGAGACAGCGGTAGGCGATGCGTGTCGAGCATGCCAATGATCTCTTGCAAAACTAACAACCTGAACTGCAGGCAAGAGCAACAGCTTTCAGCGAGACTCATTACAGCTGGGGGAGCAGGGAGGAAGAGCTCCCAGTCATCATCTCACAAAGCTGCAGAGAAAAGATGCAAGACGACAGCCTGGGTTATACATGTCAGTGACCGCACAGGGCTTCCGGCACATTAGCAGATCAGAAAGCAGTGGACGGTCAATGTTGGTTCCTCATGTGCCCAATGCAAGAGGATTACCAGAAAGACCACCGCATGTTACATCTGTACCAGCATCCACCTAACTGGAGCAGGGACAACATTGACCTCTTGGCCTTCTGCAGCAGATACCCTATCCCCAGGGCCAGGAACCAGGGAGCCCAGCTCTCCCTCCAGTTCTCATCTTCTGGCATGGCAGCCATAACCTTCTCTCTTCTGGGCTCCCCGACACACCCAGGATCCACTGAACGCCTGGCAAAATGCAGCTGCTAGGGTCACGAGTCATCTGACCCTGCCACTGGCTCCCCTTTCTCCATGGCTCTGACTCTACAGAACGCCACCATCGCTCACTCAGTCACTTTTGTCACCTGCCTGCTTGTCAACAGCCTGTCTAACCAAGTCCCCTCCCCTAGGTCTGCAAGGGGCTCCTCGTCCAGGCCATTCCTCCTCCCAGCAGTCACGTCCCTCCTAAGGCCTGCCTCCTTCATGACACCTTAGAGACCTTCCTTTTTAGACATTCCTGTTTGATTTACATCCGTGCCTTGCAGGGTTGCGCCTCAATGCATGACGAGTCAATCACCCCCCTTCTGCTTTGTTACCCCCTCTCCCACCTCCTCACGATAGCAGCCCCTTGTCAGCACTTCCCCGTTGGGGGCAGGATAGATTGACTGGCAAAATAACTGCTGTTCCGGATGGTAAGGACCCAGAACATTACATACAATAGAGGGGAAACCTCTACCTAGCTCTTGCATAGAGCTCTTCATCTGTCACTCTCCATGTGCTTTACACAGGTGGGAATAATTCACCTCATTTGGGGGGGGCGGGGGGGAGAGGGAAAAATCAGCGTGAGAAGTGAGAACCCAGGCAGGCAGCAGTGGTGACTAGCTTGGAGCCCTCCATCCTGCGCTCACGTGCAACGCACACCAACTTCAGGCTGTTGACTCAGCACACTGACCTGCAGCTTCACAGCTATCACCACTGAATTTAGATCCTTGTCCATCTCCTTCAACATGATGAGCTTCTTCAGGGTCAAGCTGAACAACCTGTAGGGAGAAAGTCAGAAATTGGACTCAGAGCAGTGGGGAGATGCAGAGAGAGATGAAGCATTCCTGAAGCTAAACAAGGAATCAGGGGTGGGAACTTCAGGTTTGGGGGCCGGATGCAGCTCCTGGCTTACCTGCATCCAGCCCTCCAAGGCTCAGCACCCCCAGCATTGGGGAGACTGAATTGGTGTTCCAGTCCCTATGCTGCCTCATTATAGGACCGGAGCATCCAAAATCTACTAGGCTGGGCCCTGCTAGACTCTGGTGGGCAAGGGAAATGTGGGAAGCATCTTTCTCCTCAGTTGGGGGCCACTTCAACGAGGAGGTTTTTTTGCTTCTCGCTTGTGTGTGGCCCAACTGATTTTTCTGTGGGTCAGAGGCCCCAGACCCAAAAAAGGTTCCCCTCCCTAACTGATGCAATCTACTCCTGGCTTCCTAGTCCAATTCCCCAGAGCTTTGTGCTTCTTCGGGCTACAAGCAGGTTGGAGCAGACACTCCCCAAGACTGTCTACATGCTCTTGTGCATTTCTGTGGTGCAAAACTTTTCCAAGACACGTGCCTGGCCCGGCCAGCCTCCTGCAAAACAAAGAGCACTCAGGAAAAAGGAAAGGAAGCTGGGGTGGGAGTCGAAGAACATTGCAGATGACCTGCTTTGAACTTACAGACTTTGAAGGCAACTCAAACCTGTTCCATTCAGCCAGAGCCTGGAGAAGAAGTTACAGGGCAAGGTGCTATGGACTGTGATAGGTAACAAGAGATCAGAAGAGAAAAGAACAGGCCCTTCCGGCCATCATATCTATGAAATGCAGTGAATGCGTGGAAGGCACACAGACCAACACATTGTAAATCCCCAATTAGCCAGTGGTCTCAGAGGGCCATGCCAAACCCTTCCATAATGCGGCTTTTGGCTACCAGTGATCTTCACTGGCTTGCACTGCCTGTGTCCTATCGTGAGCAGGGAATGGGGAAATGCAAGCCATCCACTAAAGGATTTTTCAAAAGTGATTTTCAAAGGATGCCCATCCTGATAGGAAGCTCTATATACCAACATCCCACATGAAGACGGATTACAAGCAATTAGAAACACTATCCCAGAGGACACTACTGCCAACCTGATAGCAGACCTATGTAACTTTGTTCTCACCCACAATTATTTCCAGTTTGAGAACAACTTATACCTCCAGATCAGCGGCACAGCCATGGGTACACGCATGGCCCCACAGTATGCTAACATCTTTATGGCTGACCTAGAACAACGTTTCCTCAACTCCCGTCCCCTTTCACCCCTCCTCTACCTACGGTACATCGATGACATCTTTATGATCTGGACACATGGCCAAGAAACACTGGAGATATTCCACAGAGATTTCAACAACCTACACCCCACCATCAACCTCAGCCTGGACCATTCTACACGAGAGATCCACTTCCTGGACACCACCGTACAAATCAACAATGGAAAATTAGACACCACTCTCTACAGAAAACCCACTGACTCATACAGTTACCTACATGCATCCAGCTCCCATCCAGAACACACCACACGATCCATCGTCTATAGCCAAGCCCTTCGATACAACCGCATCTGCTCTAACCCCACTGACAGAGACCAGAAGCTTCAGGATCTCTACCAAGCATTTATAAACCTCAACTACCCACCCGGAGAAATAAAAAAGCAAATTGAAAGAGCCAGACGAATACCTAGAAACCATCTACTTCAAGACAGACCCAAGAAAACCAACAATAGAACACCACTTGTCATCACCTACAACCCCCAACTTAAACCTGTCCAACACATTATCAATAAACTACAGCCTATATTGGAACAGGATACCATACTCAAAGAGGCTCTGGGAGACAGACCCATAGTCTCCTATAGACAACCACCTAACCTCAAGATGATTCTTACCAACCACCACAGGACATACCACACTAATACCAACCCTGGTACCTTCCCTTGCAACAAACCCCGTTGCCAGCTTTGTCCACATATTCATTCTGCTGATACCATTATTGGACCTAACCAAGTGAGTTATAAGATCAAGAACACATATTCCTGCGCATCCAGAAATATAATCTATGCTATCATGTGCCGAAAGTGTCCGTCTGCTATGTACATTGGACAAACATCTCAGACACTTCGCCAAAGGATTAATGCCCACAAAACAGATATCAGACAAGATCACAAAGAGAAAACAGTTTCTTGCCACTTTAACCAGAAAGGACACTCTCTAAATGACTTAGCCACCTGCATTCTGCTACAAAGACCTTTTACATCTGCACTTGAAAGGGAATCCTCTGAACTGTCATTCATGTTAAAATTCGACACTTACCACCAGGGACTTAACAAGTCTTTGAACTTTCTCACCCATTATCAAGACAGTTTCCCCAATTATCACCTGTAATACCATTAACTCACAAACATCCCACTCTCCCTACCTTTAATATCAGCAATTCACAGACACTTACCTTCCTTCCTCCCCCTTCCCACCCCCCGCATCCTCCTTCTGTTCTGCAATGTGATTTGTCCTTTTCATATTTGTTCATTTTTTTTAATTGTATCCTTTGGTATATATGGTTGTGACTACTTTCTTCCACTATTTGATCTGAGGAAGTGGGTCTGGCCCACGAAAGCTCATCATCTAATAAACCATCCTGTTAGTCTTTAAAGTGCTACATTGTCCTGCATTTTGCTTCATCCTGAGAGACACTTTGTACTTTGCCAACAGCCAGACCTGCCCCAGAGAAATTGGGAGATGCTCTTTCACAAAGCAGCCACTTCTGCACTCCCATTACAATGGCTCTACAGCTTTGGGGGGAACCAAACTTGACCTCCCAGTCACTACCAGGAATCAGGCAGCCCGGGCGCCGAAGACCTTCCCACTCTGTGGAAGTTACCTGCTTGGCTGATGGGCAAGACCCCCAGAATTTGCTTCCAAGAAAACTCTAGGCAGATACAACAGCTACAAACTACAGGCAGTCTTCGAGTTACGCGGATCCGACTTATGTAGGATCCGCAGTTACGAACGGAGATTTTCTCGCCCCGGAGGACTGGAGCGGCGGGACGCCTGGTCCCGCCGCCTGCCTCCTCCGGGGTGAGAAAAGCTGTTCCCCGTCTCCCTGGTCTGCTGGGGGAGCCAGCAGACCAGGGAGACCGGAAGCAA